GTAGCCTCTTTCTGACTCGAAGGCTTGGTGGGTTTTGCCGTCCTTAAATTGGGGATGCCCTTGTTCTCTGAAGGTCTGAAGCAGCCTGCATGGCTCACACTGTCCTTTCGGCAAAACCAGACACATTGCTCAATTTCAGTCTGGCATATGCTTTGCAATTCAGTGGCCAACTGGGGGTCCATTTGTAAAAACTGAATATGGAGAAAATGATGATAATTTTGACAACACCCCACCCCCAAGTCTGGCCATAGGAGAAAATACTGGATCATGTAGAGAAAGAGCTGGGTCTGGAGAACCGACTCCAGCTGGCACAGAAGCTCCTTTTCTAGACGGTTCATTCGCTGGTGGCTTTGCTGAAGCCTTTGGTGACCGTGGCTGCTTTCATGAATGGCGCTGGAATCACCTGACAAGGATTTCCAAGCAGCCATCATGAAAAGGTCTTAAAAAGCCATGACAGATTCTCTGGAAACAAATGAAACAATGGAACATCTCAGCAGAGAAATAAAACTTACGAAAAGGAAATGAAAAGTATAGAACTGAATAGAATAATGGAAATAAAACTCACTGGATGGGCTCAAAGGTACAGTAGAGATGGCGGACGATTGATTAGTGAACTTGATCAAGGACTCGTCAAGGGAGGGGCTCAGTGTGGACAACAGAGAGAAAACAGGCCTCAGAAAGCAAGGGCTGCCGAGGGCAGTACACACTGCAGGACTGCAGACAGCATGGGAGCGACGGCAGGATTCTTCCCTTCCCTCCCTGGTTCCTTGTCTCTCTCTCTGGGTCTCTCTGTGACTCCGTTTCTCCCCTTTTTGTCTCTCTGTGTCTGTGACATCCTCTACCTCTCCGTCTCTCCCTCTCTGTGTCTATGTATCTGTCTGTCTCATCTCTGCTGTCAGAATCACAGGAGGCCTTCAGAGCTTGTTTTGTCCCCCTTGGTAGAAGAACGAAGGCCACTCTGTGAAACCCGTGGCTCTTGCGGGTGCCTGCATGGAGCACTGGCAGGTGCCTGCATGGAGCACTGGTGGTGGACAGGGGCCTGATATGGGCTGCGGGAGCGGGCCTGATATGGGCTGCGGGAGCAGGCCAGCTGCTTAGGGGGAAGCCCAGTTTGGGGCCTGTGATTTTCCTTAGCGATAGGGAGGCAGGAGCTGTAACCAGAGCTTGCTCTGGGCAGCACTGGCTGAACCAATGCCCATGCACAGAGGAAACTGAGCCGTGGGCCTGCAGGTGGGCAGTCCTGGGAGAGAGCTGGGCAGCCCATGGGCAGCTGGCCGCAGGCAGAGCCGGTGGCAACAGGATGCGGCCATCAATCTCAATAGGGAGCGGTGAAGCTTTTAAGGTAAAAACTAAGACAAGACAATATTTCATTTATCTCTATCATTTTGTCTACAGTGATCATATTTCCAAGTGTTTTCGGGATAGTTCCTGTCTTAAACATCCAATTCTCACACTAGACCAATTATATTACTTTTTGGTATTTTACTTTTTGCCATGTCAGCATCACTCAACTTCACTTTTGGTAGCCATAATCAAGTGATTTGTTAGAGTGTCATAGGCACAGGTCCTTGGTTCATTGATTCACAAATAATATACCAAGTGCCTGTCTGTATATGCCATCTGTTAAGATACAACCGTCATCCAAACAGACCAATGCGCCGCAGCTGGAGTGTGTATTGTATAGTGCAGGGAGAGATTCTGTAAACACCACACAGAAATCAGTGAGAGAGTACATTTACCAGTGATATGTGTGATGGAGGAAAACAGCAGGTGGCGGGTGGGAAGTGCCAGCACCTAGGGCGGTAGTGCAGGTTTACGTTGGGTCGTCCGGGAGGTGTTACTGAGAAGTGACGTGAACAGAGACTTGATGAATGGGAGCGAAGAAAGGAGTGAGGTGAAGATCTGGGAGGATGGTGTTGCAGGCAGAGGGAACAGCTAGTGTGAGGTCCTGGGGTAGAAGCCTGCCTGGCAAGTTCCAGAACAGCAGAGGCCAATGAGAGTGGGGAGGGTGGTAGCTGGCTGATGAGGTCAAGGAGGGAACAAGGGAGCAATTGCGTAGCACCTGCTTGGCCATTCGAAGGACTTGGCCTTTTATTATTAACTTTTTTTTTTTTTTTGCTTTTGTAGAGGCAGGGTCTTGTTCTGTTGCCCAGGAGGGAGTGCAGTGGCAGATGACAGCTCACTGCAGACTTGAACTCCTGGGCTCCAGTGATCCTCCCGAGTAGCTGGGACTACAGCGTACATCACCATGCCCAGCTAATTTTTAAGTTTTTTGTAGACACAGGGTCTTGCTATGTGGCTCCAGCTGATCTTGAACTCCTGGCTTCAAGTGATTCTCCTGCTTTGGCCTCCCAGAATGCTGGAATTACATATAAGGTCTAGGCATGAGCCACCACACCCAGCCTAGATCTTCTTTTTTAGAGCAGTTTTAGGTTTCCCGAAGAACTGAGCCAAAAGTACTGAGTTGCTGTACACTCCTTTCAGCCCACCCACTTTCCCCCATTAACACCCTACATTAGTATGATGCACCTGTTAAATTGATGAGCTGATACTGATACTTTATTATTGACTAAAGTTCACAATTTCCTTTAGGGTTCACTGTGTGTTGTATGTTCTGTGGGTTCTGACAAGTGTATAATGACATGTAGCCACTGTATAATAACATGCAGAGTAGTTTCACTGCCCTGAAGTCCTTTTTACTCCGTCTAGTCATACCTCCCTTGCCTCATCCCCTGGCAACTGTTGATCTTTTTACTGTCTCCATGGTTTTTTTTTTTTTTTTTAATTTACATTTACTGGTTTATTATAAGAATATTGCAAAGGCTACAGATGAAGAGACAGGTAGTGTGAGCTATGGGGTAAGGGTCGCGCAGCTTCCATGCCCTCCCTGGGTGTGCCCCCTCCAGCAACCTCTACGTGTTCAGCTGCCTGGAAGCTCCACAAGTTTTGTCTTTTCCAGAATGTCATATAGTTAGAACCACCCATTCTATAGCGTTTCTGATTGGCTTCTTTCACTTAGCAATATGCATTTAAGGTTCCTCCATATTTTTGTTATGGGTTGATAGCCCATTTCTTTCTATCACTGAATAATCCCATTGTATGATATACCACTGTTTTTTCTCCATTCACCGATTGAAGTACATCTTGGTTGCTTCCAAGCGTTGGCAGTTGTGAAGAAAGTTGCAATAAACAAATGCGTGCAGGTTTTTGTGTGGACATACGTTTCAGCCCCACGTGGGTAAATATAATACCAAGGAGCACAACTGCTGGATCATATGGTAAGCCTACGTTTAGCTTTGTAGGAGACTGCCCAACTGCCTTCTAGTGGCTGCACCATTTTGCACTTCCACCAGCAATGAATGCGAGTTCCATTGCTCCACATTCTTGCCAGCATTTGGTGTTGACAGTCTTGTGGATTTTGACTATTCTAATAGGTATGCAACGGCATCTCCTTGTTTTAATTTACATTTCCTTCATAATACCTGATGTTGGACATCTTTTCATGTGCTTATTTACCTTTTGTGTATCTTTGTTGGTGTTTTTTTTTTTTCCAGATCTTTTGCCCATTTAAAAAACTAAGTTGTTTTCTTCATGAGTTTTAAGAGTTCTTTGTATATTCAGAATACAAGTTATTGATTAGATGTGTTTTGCAAATATCTCCTACCTGTCAGTGGCTTGTCTTCTTGTTCTCTCAAGGACTTTGGCTTTTCCTGCGTGAAATGGGGAGCTTTTAATGGTTTTGAGTGGAGGAGTGACATTATAGGCAAATTATAAATAATGATAGTAACATGAACCAAATAGAATTCTTGTGTATACATTGGCAGCCTTATCTTTAAGTAATGAAGATCAGTGTTTTTAAGTGGTTTTTAAAAAATGCATTTCCCAAGTACAGATTGCTACACATCTTATTCACAGCTATGGCCCTATTTATTTCAGCCCACACTGCTGATACTTGAGTTTTGGGTGATAATGATCTTTTTGTCACCTTTTTATTACTGACAGATAATATGAAAGTCCCAACTGGCCCGTCTTTCACGCAAGAGGCTTTTACAGCCCACGAGTGTCCTTGGCCAATGCTTCCTGCCCTCTCTTCCTATCCTCTTGCCCCTCTCCCAAGGGCAGGCCCAACTGCTATTTATAGAGAGATGTGCTTAACTGTGGATGTCCTCAGCTGTTTCCAGTATCCTTATTTCACTTCCTTCCTCTGGGTGAATGGCTCCCTCCTGCTTCACCATCTCCTCTCGCAAATGAGCCTGCCTCTTTGCATGCCTTCAAATCCCCCACAAGTTAACACGTGGATGAAAACAGATTTCTTCCTAGGTGGTTGGGTTCAGTCTTCTCTTAGATGGCTCTGAGACTTGAACTTGCATTAAACACAGCTTCGAACCAAAGACTCTTGAGTGGGAAGGGCCAGGAACAAAGCAGTGCAGGACTGTGGAGCTCCCACTGTTGCCCCCTGGCTTCACTGTGTGTGGAGCTGGACGGCAGGAGGACACTTCGGAAGCAAATCTGAGTAGTGGAAGCAAACAAATGCAGGGCCGCCAGAAAAAACCATAGACTTCTGAGAACACAAATACGAGCAGCGGAGGAGCACTCGAGACTGCAGGGACAGGAGCTGCCACTCTCACCGCGGTGCCTCGGTCAAGGGTAGGATGTTGGGTTGTTGGTGAGGCAAAGAGTAGATATAGGAGGCAGCATCTCAGCTGAGAGCAGACTGCTTGTGCTGAGGGTGGACATGACCCTGCCTCGTTTCGAAACTCACCCAATGACTACACAGCCAGTACCCACCTTGGATTCACTAGCACATTTCTGTCAGAGACTACAGCCTTCTCCATAGGTGTCTTTAACAATGGGCAGTAAGAAAATAATCACCAACCATGCTGAAGTGCATTCAGTGGGAGAGGGAACATGCCAAAGGGTCGGAAACAGTAGAGCAAGGGAGCTTAACAAGAAAGCGATGAGCAGCTCTGATTCACAGAATGCCATGCCATCATTTACAGTCTGTTTCCATTAGGTCACAAGCATGAAAGTGAAATAAAAAAAGACAGTTATTCCATGTGAACAGGTGGAACAACAATCTTCGACCACAAGACTCAACTTGAGTTGTCTTATGAATCTGTAATACTTTGTTTTCTTGTAAGAAAAACTGATCCTTTAAGGGCACATGGAATGGCGGCTGCCGATGGAAGTGGTGAGACGTCCATGCCCATCCCTGCTGCACTGACTTCCTGGGGGTCTGCATTGCCGCAGCCTGACCCTGAGGGGTGGCGGGGCACGTGCTGTTTCCCAGCTCACTCTCACTCAACAATTAAGATACAACTGCTGCATTTTCATCTAACGATACTGGGAGAACAAAATACGACTCAATGGAGAAATGTATTCTGGGTTATCTGATGAAGTTTTATCTTTAAATATTTTGTTATCCATTTTTGGCATTGGTATGAGTTTGGAACTGTTGCCACCAACTCTGAGGGATTTTCAAATGTGCTTTTGGAGTTTATGAGAACCAAGCCTCAGGGGATGCATGAGCCAGTTGAAGCACTGTAGTCTTGTTGGTCTCTCTCTGACATTTCATGTCTCTGGCATATCTGAATTTAGGTTGGGAATGGGAGGTTTTGTACACTTGTATCTATTACTACCCTTTATAATCTGGCCAGTTCCATACTCATGGAAAACAATTTGTTTGTTCCCAGATGGCTGCAGCATTTCATTTAGAGTTGGGCTTTGGGATTTCTTGAAGGAGGAATGCAAAAGAGAAACACGCTTTATAAAAGGTTTAAATTTCTTCCAGTAAACGACTTACTTAGTATGCTAAAGACTTTTTGGGGGAGCAGCTTACTTATCTGATATTTAACAGTCGAATCCTTGGCATTTCTGCCTGTTGCTTCATGTTTTCCAATGGATTTGGAAGAAGAGTTGTCCTGGAGACTTCCAAGTTAGCTCCACTGACCTACATTTTCACTCCATTTAACATTATTGACTGTGGAATGAGCCCAGAGTGCTGTGGAAGAGCATAATTCCTGATCAGAAGACAGCTGCAATTTAGTTAGAATAAAGCAGTGACTACCATGTAATTAAAAATTAGATGAACCATTGAATGCTAAGCAGACTTTTAGAAGGTGAACTTAGGATTTCAAACCTACCACTGCATCTCGGCATGACATGGTGGAGATCTGCCCTACAAAGACCCCAGTATACTGGCAGCCCAGCTGTCTGGGGACTGTTTTGTGATGGGGGAGTCACGTTGGCCTGAGGGGAAGAACAATGGATTGGGAGTGGTCATCGTCTTCTTCTCTAATGTATTTAATAATACTTGCACATGGGAAAACATTCAAACGGTACAGTAAGTAGAGAGAGAAAAGCAAATTTCCCTTGTTCTCCTGTCCTCCATGCCCGATTCCATTTCCCCATAGAGAACTCTTGTTAAGGGTCTGGAATATGCTTGCAGAGATAGCTGCATGCATTTCTAAACGCCCACATACATTTTCTTCTTGCTTCTTTTTTTTAAAACACAAAAGGTAGAAATTATCCACAGTGTTCCCCATGTTCCCTACCCCGCCAAACGTAACTTGGAGATTGTAACATATCAGGATATAAAGCTGCCCCTTTTTTAAAGGCCGTATGGTAGTGGTGATAGTCTGTGGAAGCATTAGAATTCTTTTAATCTGTCCTCTAGATTGTTTCCAATCGTTTTCTATTACATTGTGTTCTAATTTTAGATGCCACCAGGAAGCTCTCCAGGTTAGGTGCCAGGCAGAAAACAGATAGATGGCACACTGAACAGAGGTGGTTTATGAGACTATTTACGAAGTGAGGGCAGGAAGAAGGACAATCTAGAAGAGATGGATTAATGACTGAAAAGTCGTTAACTCTCTCTGGCCCGGCAGGGAAAGGTCGGGGGAAGCAGGGTTACTCCAGCCAGTGAGAGCTGTAGTTACAGGACAGGCTGTCTGACAGGAGCCACGGTCTTCCACCAGTGGTGTGTTGGTAACTGTTTAACACCTGGCTGTCTGCGAGGGGGGCCCTGGCATGTACTGTTTGCTGATTTCTGTGCTGTAGGTACTTACACCAGGGCTTTCAAGCCACCAGTGTGACAGAGTGAGACCCACACAGGCCCCTGTGAGCCAGCACCAGCATCTACCACTCTAGGCCCCTGCTTCCTGCCAGGGCCCCCTGTTGGCTCAACCCCACCAGAAGCCAGAGAGCAGGGAATCCTGGTTGATGCAGTCCTCAGAGGTCGGTGCAGTTTTGGACACAACATTTCAGCTCTCTGAGTCCCTGTTTTCTCATCTGTAAAATACCAGAACTACCTCAAAAGTCTTCTATGACCCTTTCAGCTAAGGTTCTTTATTTCCCTTACTCCATGATGAGTGGATTTGGTGACCTAAGTGGGTTAGGTCATTTAGTGCACAGTTGCTGACTATTTAACGTGAGACATCTGTGGGCCCTGCAGTTAGGGAGCTTATGTCTAAATGAGGGAGATGAGATGAGCACAAGTAGGTCCAGCTATGTTGTAGGTCTAACTGTGGACAGAACCACACGCGTTGAGAAGGAAGTGATCTTTCATAGCTGGGGTGATGAGATTTGATGGCAAAGACCTGGGGTGACGTTCATTCTGTGGTTGCGAGTCTGAATTATTCTCCAAGTGGGAAAAAACCAGAACACTTCTAGATTCAGTCTACATATACCCCTGGGTTCTGTCAGTATGGTCCTGGTACCATCAACGTCTCCAGGGAACTTGTCAGAAATCCAAATTCTTGGGTTCCACCCCACCTGCTGAATCTGTGTTACTCCAGGTGATTCTGATGCATGTCGATGTTTAAGAAACACCGAGTTATACCATACCAGTGGTTCCCAAACCTGGCTGAAAATTAGAATTAGATGAAGACTTTAAACATACACACTGACACTAAACTCCTGGGCTGTACTTCAGACCTACGCAGAATCAGAATCTCTCTGGGGAGCTAAATACTTCTCAGACGTGACTATTTTCTACTGTTGATCTTAATTGTTGAGGTAACATTTAACCTGTTTAATTATTTGCCTTGCTGATACTGCCTATTATTCCTTCTCTAGTGGTTTTTACTCAAACTCTTTCAAATTCTGAGAGTCTTTAAATCCTGAGAGGTGGCAGCTGTCTTAGTCACCTCTCTGCTTTGGTTGAGGGTGGAGATGATTGTTCCTGCCCTGGAGTAGTTGGTAAGGACTTGACATGAAAACTGGATAGCTGTAGACGCTTCTGAAGTCTGACCTTAATGTTGCTTTGTGATTAATTTGTAGCAAATATTCATATCACACACACCACTTATCAAATATTAAGTATGAAATCCATACTTTGAAGGAAAATTGTAATGATTCTGGGACTGTCTATGCTCTGCCTGGTTAGAGTTCTTGAGGGAAAAGCCTGGAGTTTATTACCATGGAGAATTTGGCACAGGATTTCTGAAAAGTGAACTGGGCAGAGTTGTTGGTCATTTGAGGCCTCAGTTTTCTGAATATTTCTGGAGACTACATGAAAAAGGAGACTTCCCCGCCCCTTTGAATTGTGAAGGGTTTGCTGATTATAAATAAAGCTATGAACATTGTTGTACGTGGCTTTCAGTGGACCTATGCTTTCATCTCTCTTGGGTAAATACCTAGGAAAGGAATTGCTGGTCTTAGGGTAGATGTATATTTAACTTTGCAAGAAACTGCCAGTTTTCTAAGCATACCATTTACACTCCCATTAGTCGTGTCTGGGAATTCCAATTACTTTACATCCTTGCCAACACTTGGTATATTGTCAGCCCTTTCCCTCTGATCAATTCTGGTGGGGTGTAGTGTTATCTGTAGCTTTAATTTGCATTTCCCTAATGACTAAAGAGGTTGAACCCTTTTTCACGTGCTCACTGACCACTTGTTCATATAGCTTCTTTAGTGAAAGATTAAAGAGACTTTCAACCACCTTGTTTATATCATAATATTCCAAACATGTTTTTCCACTGCAGTTTCACCCATGATCTCAGCTGCCTTTTACTTGCCATCCTTGAGAACACCCGGGACTGCTAAAATGGCACACCTTTGAGACGCAGTTCCATCTGCCTCTTCACCTTTCTAGGCCCAACTCAGAGGTCACCTTTTATGCTGGTTAAGCTTCTGGCCCTACCCTATCTCTGCAGAATTTCCTCTGCCATGCTTCTGTGATGCTGAGTCCACATCTCTGTGGCCACACTTTACCATGCTGTGTGCAAGCTTCTGTGCATCACTGAGGGCAATGCCTTGTCTCACTCTTGGCATTCACAGTGCTTATGCCATCATCTGCTGTGGACTCTAAGCCCAATATTGCTGGATTAATTTATTACCCATTTCATCCTCCCAACTGCTCTGTGCAGAAAGATTTATTAGCCTTAAATCAGGGACAAGGGCATAGATCCAAAGGGGTCAAGTGACTTGTCCAGTGTGACACAACATACTTGTTACACAGCCAGGCACTACTTACTATAAAGTTTTGACTCTTTGACATTACAGTTTTCCAAACAGGTATGTTTTAGGTACAGTGTTCTTTGACTTAGCTTGCTACAGGTAGGTACCCATGTACATGTACAGAAATATTTTTCAAGGGATATGCAGGCACAGGATGGTTTTAAAGGAATCCACTTCCAGACCCTCAACTTACATACACAGTCACCTAAAACTGACTAGCCTTAGAAGGTACCTGAAGCCATGGAAGACATGAAGCTGGCTTGGCCATCCCATCTCCCCTCTCACGGTGGCCATTCTCCCACTTCATACAGAAAGGCAGACTTTGCACCTGTCATCTTCCTGAGGTGCACTGTTGCAAGATGGAAAACTTCCAGGCCATGTAACAAAGAGACAATTAGCAATATTGATGGTATTAAGAAGTCAATGACTTTAACGACTGAAATTTTGCACCTCAGGGGTTTCCACTTCCTAGCTTTCACAGAAATCAAAGGAGACCTAATGAAGTTGTTAATAAATGATTTAAAACATTTTTAACTTATGAGAGACCATATTTGGACTTTGTCCATGTAACTCAGAAGGCTTTAAAGAGTTAAGTTATATCACAACAAAACTCCTTCTATTTTCATGTATTTATTTTTGTGAACAAAGTTTTTTAGGGTTTGCATAAAAATCCTCCAAGATAGGAAAACAAGTGATGCTAGACCATACCTCACTCCAGCAAAAAGTGATAGTCATTCATGGGTAAATGAACAAACTAAAAAATAAGCCCTATATAATTAAAAAAAAACATTTCTGGCTGGGTGCAGTGGCTCATGCCTCTAATCCCAGCACTTTGGGAGTCTGAGGTGGGTGAATTGCTTGAGCCCAGGAGTTCAAGACCAGCCTGGGCAACATAGTGAGACCACCATCTCTGAAAAAAAGAAGAAGAAGAAAAAAAAAAGAAATACATTTCCAGATGAAACTTTGCTTTTTATATGTAATAATTTATAAAAACTGTAACATATTGTTTCCATCATTTGTGTACTCATAATAGTTGTATTAACTCAGTTCAGAAAAAAATCATAGCAATTAGATTCTTATGGTTTAATACTCTTAAATGTAGAGTCAGTTATCATTATTTGTGGCAGTTACGTTCTAGAAAGTTACCTTGATCATTGAATTACTGACAAATGCAACATTGCTCTGAGGAGAAATATAGCGTTAGGATCCATGAAGACTCTGACCACATTTTGCCAACCAATCAATACATAACCTTGTTTTATCTGTATTTTTGTTTGAAGATAGTTTATTTAATGTAAATTTCTTACAATTAATCATATGCAGTATTTCTTTATAATAAACAATGTTTCAGTTACAACATTATGTACTGCTATGATTGTATTAGTTTAATTGTCAGTCATAAGTATACACATGCACACAGTACACATATACAGTACTCACATAACACGGAATACTGTGAACATGCTTTATACTGTATAGCACAGTAATAACAAATACATAAAGTCCTGAAAAGAGCATTAAGTGAAGATTGAGCATTTAAAGCTTTATACACATTAACTAAAGTCTTACTGTGGATGGAGCTGCAGGATGTGTGATGGTCAGTGAGTGCACTGTGGTTTACCCTATCAACCTTAGCTTGCCCCATGAAAATCAAGAGAGGCTGGTGGAATTTACTCTGCACAAGAGGAAGATGTCAATAACAGCAGCACATTGTGATCTGGCAGAGCTACCTTAGGAGTTTGTCTTTTGCAACTTGTTGATGGTGTCGGCGACTCTCTCTCAAACTGGCTAGAAAAATTGGTTCAGCCTTGTCTGCCT